ATAAATATTATGTACAAAAAGTCTATATTGTTAATGTTTTGATACTAATTAACCTTCAGAACGAATGCAAATAGCAGTATTTAATAATTATTATCTTTCAAATGTTAACACTTTTAATTTGATTGTACTGAAAATGACTAACTAGAATAAACAGATAATAAATAAAATGACTAAGTTTTTTAAAAAAATCTAAGAAGTGTAATAATGAAAAAGGATTTTTGTACTCTGGAACAATAAAATAATTCACCTAAGGCATATTCATTTGGAAATAAATGTCTCTATTCCTCCTATTACAGATTTAGAGTCATGGTTTTTAAACTTAGAACTAATTCTTTGAGAAACAAAGTAATATAAATTCAAGGATTTTGTTGTTTGATTTCTAAAATATGTATGTCTCTTTCCTCTACAGGAGACTCTTTCTTCATCCCAAACCTCAAGAACTTTATGTTTGTTTTCATGACTCAGTCACAGAAATTGCTATTGAATTGGCTTTTAAATTATTCTTTGGATTAACTTTATAAATGCACTTTCTTGATGCAGAGAACATTGGACATAGAGCATCAAACAGTACACAGAATGTTAAATTTTAATTCCTTTCACTATTTAATATTAGATAAACTAGTATTAAATATTAACATCAAATACTATTTAAATTTAGTGTTCTAAATCTTATATAGTATTGCTAGACTTTTGAAAAGATACTTGATCAAAAATAGATGGGGAAAAAATTTTAACTTATTGCCATTATGCTATAATGACATTAATTTATTAACTAGTTGGAAATAATGTGAAATGTTTTATATAAAATTTATAGAGGAAATATGTATCTTGGAAAATTATGAATTAATTGTATATTTTTCTCAAGACTACTGTTAATATGTGGTTATAGAATCATGAAATTGAAAGGTAATTCTGTAATTAATGCTATTACCATAAGCAAGTGTTTTCTCTTCCTGAGCTCAGAATTTTTATATAAGATGATTGCATTGATATTTCTAATCTCTTTATGTTCTTGATTAATATCTAAGTTTATAATGTCCAAATACTGTTGTCTTTCCAGATTAAATACTTTTTCATCAGATTTTCCAATACATCACAGGATCAGTCAGTGAGGGGATACAAATAAAACTTTTTAAAAATTTCTTTACTTTTCTTCATTCTTTTAGATTGATAATAAGATATATTTCGGGAGCTCTAAAGGGTGGAGGGACAGTGCAGGAGAGGAAGACCCTGGGTGATGGATTGACAGAGTAACTGGAGCAATGAGGGTAGGTGTGTTGGAGGTGGTGAGACTGACTCAGGAGAGGGCAGGCTTCAGATCTATTGTATATAAGGTCGCTGTGAGTCGCAGGCGACTTGACAGCATGTAACTCTATCTAGTAAGGGAGTTCTGGCAGTCTAGTGGTAAGAACCTGCACTGCCAACCAGAAGACAGCAGTGTGAATCTACCAGTTGCTTGTCAGAAGAAAGATAGGCAGTCTCCTCCCTTGCAATATAATGTCTCTCAAAACCTGTTGGAGGGTCAGCTATGAATCGATTCTGACTTGACAGTACTAAACTACAGTAATCTAGTAGGTAAGGAGTTGTGCTGTCAATACAAAGGCAGGCAATTCAAATACATCAGCTGCTCTGAGGGAGAAACATGGGCAGTCTCCACCTGTGTGATTTATAGTCTTTGAAAGTCTGCTGTGAATTGGTTCCAACTCAACAGAAATGGGGGGAGGAGGTGTTGAGGATATATTTGTTAAACAATTTGTTCAAAATTTTCATTGTTGGAAATTCAGTCTTTTGTTGAAGTGCATTCAGGGGCACTGAATGTATTTTATATAATTGGTGAATTTCAGAGAGATTATATGGAAATCTCTTTTAATTTTAACCAAATCATGTTAAAGACACTACAAAAGTTTGGCAACTTCGTCTGTAAAATTCAAATAAAGCCTAGGATGATAAAGCTTTCTCTCACATACTTTGGGTATGTTGTGAGGAGGGACCAGTCTTTGGAAAAGGACATCATGCTTAGAAAAGTAAAAGGTTAGTGAAGGAGATGAAGACCTTTGGCGAGACGAATCCATACTGTGGCTGTATCAATGAGCTCAAGTATATTAGGAATGAGGAAGCTGGCACAGAATAGGGTAAGCTTCAGACCATTGTTCATAGAGTGGTTGTGAGTCATAGTCACTCAGCAACACCTAGCAACAATGACAATTTGTCTAAAATAGTAAATTATTACATACTGGGTTTTCCCAAGGAGAATCCCTTTAATGAGTAATAGTTTTCTTGACCTTTCCTCAAGGTAGAAAACTAATGGGATGAGAATTTTCTTAGGCTAGTGGGCTGGGAAAAAGGAAAGCATAACAAATACTGCATTCTTTTTTTGTTTGTTTTGATTTTTTTATTATTAATTTTAATGAAAGTTTACATTTCATTCATTGTTGTACTTTTCTCCATGCCCAACCCTCCCACCCCCAGTAACTCTTCTCTTTGAAAAGTAAAAGAATAATTCTTTTTAATTGTTTTACAGTCCCTCCCCCCAGGTTCACTCCACTATGCAGCCTTCATTCTGGACTCCTGTCATGATAATAATACCTAATCACTTATCTCTTTTAAATAGTTTTTTCCCTCATCTGTTTCAATGCAGTATACATTATTTATCCCATCTTTCTCAGTCTCCCCCCAACCCTCATATCAGTCCTGTTTCACAACAGATGCACTATGCAGTATTTGTCCTTTGTGGCTGAGATATTTCACTCATCATAATATCTTCCAGGGTCACCCATTTTGGATAATATTTCATGAGTGTCTGTTTTTCAATGCAGCATAGTATTCCATTGTATGAATATATCAGCGCTTTTCTATCCATTCATTTGTTCATGGGCACTTAGGTTGATTCCAACTCTTTGCTATCATGAACAAATCCACGATAAACGTGGGTATGCATATATCTGTTTCGGTAGCATTTATGGTTTCTTTGGGGTATATTCTCAGTAGTGGAATTGCTGGGTCAAATGGTATCTCTATTTGCAACTTTTTGAGAAAGTGCCACACTGCCTTCCACAGTGGTTGCACCATTTTATACTTCCACCAACAGTGAATAAGAATTCCAGTTTCTCCACAACCTCTAGCATTTGTTGCTTGCTGTTCTGTTAAATTTTGCTATTCTTACTGGGATGAGATGATATCTCATAGTTGTTTTGAAATACTGCATTCTTAATTTCCATTTACATATTGGATCTTTCTGGAGGCTCAGATACTTTAGAGAATTTACAGTACTGTGGTGGTTTTTTTCTTTAGAACTTTAGTTATACCATTACATCTGAAGTCAGTGTCTGCATTTCTGCTGCCTCACATGAAGACCCCCAAGCTTGGTCAGAACTAATTGCAAAATATACTAGATATACAATTTGAGTTAGTTAGTCTTAAAAGAAACACTATTATCCCTCTATTATAACATTAAAATATTTATATCATTTAAATATAAGCCTTTCCATACTGAGCCCATTAATGATTCATGGATTTTAATTTTAGCATTTGAATCAGGAAAAGAAATTTTGGTTCTTGAAATGTTAAAAATAATGACTTAAAATATATATTCCTCTTATAATCTCAATATTAAGTCAAATGGTGGGCTCTTCATCTACAGTCTAATCTGTTTATATATGTGAATATTAAGACATTGTGTTTAAAGATATTAACATCTTAAGTTTCTGGAAATGTTCCCAACATGAGCTACTTTTTAATGCTGAGAATTCTTAATAAATACATCTATTGATTTCTCTCATATTTTCAGACGGACATAACTAAGATTTGAGGCTTTATCAGAGGTACATTTTTGTTTTGCTTGATGGCATTTTGTTTTGTCAAACTGCTTTTTCCTTGTCAAAGAATAATTGTGACACTAATGTGTCAAATGTGATAATGGCCCCCGATGGTTAGCAGAGTTAGGTGGAGCTTCCCGATTAAAATAAGCCTGGAAGCAGGAGTGACATCCACCTCCAAAATAGCTTATCACCGGAAACTCTGTGAAAGTGGAGAAACAACGAAAGTTATACAAGTGTTCAGGTCTTTTGTTCATAAGGTTGCTATGAGTCATCTACGACTCAACGGCTCTTAACAACACAACATGCAAATAAATACATACACAAAGAACAAAACATCTTGTTGGATGTCAATGAGTCATGTCCTAACCATAGTTGCCTTGTGTACAACAAAACACTGCCCAGTCCTATACTAACTTCACAATCTTTGCCATTAATGAGCTCATTGTTGCAGCCACTGTGTCATTCCATCTAAATTGTCCTTTTTTCACTGACCTTCAACTTTGCCAAACATGATGTCCTTCTCTAGGGACAGTCCCTCTTGATAGCATACCCAAAGTATGTAAGATAGAGTCTTGCAGTAAAAAAAAAAACAAGGGCCAATAGGGGATGGCCTTATCTGTCCTTTACCAACTTGGCAAAGGGGAACTATCCCCATCAGCAACACAAAACCAATTCCCAGGAGGTCAGCCATGTCCTCCATTCTCTCATACCTCTTTTTACTCATCTCAACACTAATCTTGCTGCTTTACTGGGTCCAAAATCCAAAACAAGAGCTCACGGACCAGATAGAACCATATTAGGTAAATCAAAAGGTTATAATCCAGGTTAGAAGCAGAATAGTAAGGACAGCTTCCAAAATGTGTTCACACCTCATCCCTGAACCTCATGCCTTTAGGCCAATGTTACAATGTTCTCAGTCCAGCCAGTATTGGCTCTTACCCACTCCCCTGCCATATCCTCCAACAAACTGGGGCAAAAGGCTTGTAGCTCTTGTCCAATGGTGTAGCAGTCCCAAGATCCATTCCATCTCTTGTCTCTGGTTCTCTGCTGTAGTTACTATGGCTGTTGCTCCATTTGGCTCTAGTCTAACTAGCACTTGCATTCTCCTGCTGCTGCTTTGCTGGCACTGAAATTTCTCCCATTCTGCTGCTAGATCTCAATGTAATAGTGAGACTAGCCAATCCACTTGTGGATTGATGAGACTAGCCAATCTCCTTGTAGATTGGTGATACTAGTCAGTCCACTTGTAGATAAGCTATCACACCCTATTTGCATATTCCTGCCCATCCACATGGCAAAGTAAGTTAATGCATAGGGAAGCTATTTTGAACAATAAGCCCTTAACACCATTCTTGCCATTCTTGCTTTTTCCAAGGCAGATTTTTTGTTCTTCTGGAAGATTTTGGTATATTCCATATTCTTCACCAGTAGAATAATTACACAGCATCATTTCATCTTCAGCCTTATTCACTGTCCCACTTTTAGATGTTGTTAGGTGCTGCTGAGCGGACTTCAACTCATTGTACAGCAGATGGAAACCCTGCCTGATCCTGTTGTGGGATACATGTGTTGTTAATGTAGGTGCCACAGAGTCAAGTACAACTCATAGCAACTCTATGAACAACAGATCTGAACCCTGACCGACCCTCTACCATCCCCATCATCTCTGACACACACAAGCCCATTACTACAGTTACTGTGTG